TGACAGTGGAGACAGGAGCGGTGAATAGGAGGCAAGAACAAGCGGGAGTCTTCTTTCCGCAACAAACGGCAGGGAATCTGAGGAAAGATGAAGGCGATCCGAAGGCAATTAGGCATCGAAGTCTGCCTCTTGGTACGGCAAACGCGCAACGTCTGGGAATGATGTTGGAAGTTCCGCGGTATGAGCTAGTTGTGTGGAGAACCGAGTACAGAGCATTGAGCACACCTCAGTGTACCTTACTACCTACCTGCGTACTGCGTAGGTAGTGCGGCTGACTGGTGGGGCCGGTGCCTGCCGATTTGATGCAAGCGCTCCCTAAGCCAATCGGTGACGGTATGCCCGGTGTCCCGGTGTCCCGGCATTTGACGTCGCCGTAATTGCCGCGAAAGCCGGTGACTTAGCCTGGCACAGCAAGGTGAAGAAGGTGCCTGAGTCTGACTACCTACCACGGCATTTGTCCAACCATTTTCTTTCTTCTATGGCGATCTATTTCTACAGCTTTCTTCAAGATTTTGTGTCTTTCATTTTCTATCTGCTTCCATTTCCTGACAAATAATTACTTTATTCACTACAGACCAATGAAAAGGGTATAATTCTCCGACTTCTCTCAGAACCAGCAAGTCATCTATGTGCCTGATGAGCTCATCCAGCCCTTTCTTCATGTCTGTGTTGCGCACTGTCACCTACTCATAGAAAAACGCCAAACGATCCCATCCCCAAATCTCCGTCTATGATCTTGAAAATAAATATTCACCAATGTAGGTGGGCCACTTGTCATTACACCGTCTCTAATCGTCTATGCGAGTCCGCCAAAGTGGATAGACAGGCTGTCCGAGGCGCTTTAGTCCTCGGTGTGTCATTTTCGCCAGCAGGCGGAACAGCCGCCAAATTGCTGGGCTTTGATATTTCAGAGGCAGCTCTTTTGAGAGAAGGCAAGCATGGGACAATGTCACCGGCTGATGGGCGATCGTGTTCGTCTATGCTGTCGTCCTCCACTGGGTCGTTGGGATCAAGGTAATGGTCATACACCCAGCAATTCTCGAGGCCGTCAATGAATTTCGGCGAGTTTCGCAGAAAATGCCAAGACAGCTTATCTTTGCGCATGGCGATGTATAACGACTCGATCTTCCCGCTGGGCTCGCACACGCCACAGTGCTTCCGCAGGAAGTCAACGTTGTATTCGCTGTCGACAAGGTTGGGGTCCAGTGGTCGTAACATTGGGAGGCCCTGGAGCCGTTCTGCATCGCAAAGCTTCGCCTGCAGAGGCATCCATGGCCGTCCTTTCAACAGACCCTCGAAGGCTCTCGCGACAGCGTTCGTGAAGGAGTCACTATCAGGACCCCCCACAACAACTGTGCGATGCAGACCACGCGAGAGGCATCGCTTGTAGGCATTGGTATCCCTTTCAAAGGGGAACGGCTGTGAGAAGGTTGGAAGCAGGGAAATGTGAACAGTCCATGCGCCGCAGTTACTTGGGTTACCGGCAAACCCAGTCGCGCCAGGTGAAGAGGAAGCACGAAATTCAGGCCGGGAGAGTTCCAAGTCACTGACAGACTTTCCGTGAGCTGTCCGGGTCGGCGTGGGTTGGCGTCGGGGTCGAGAATCTGGGCCACTGGGCCAAGTCGCTGCCTCAACCGTGACCTCCAGCTTTCCTGCGTCTCGTGTGGCCAATGAGTCCTTGTCCGACTCCAACTGTTCCAATCTTTCTTCCATGCTGTCATCGGCGTCGAACAGTTCCATTTGTCGATTGCTGATGTTCCGCAGTTCGCAGTCTACATTCCCTAGTCGCTCCGTGTGGGAATGTATGCCTTGTTGCATTTGAGCAGCTTGCCGTTCTAAATGATCGACTGACTGCCAGACTCTAGTGATATTTCGGTATGATCCCTTGATCTCTTGGCCGATCTCCTCACGGCTTTTCTCGACCAGCTCCTCCAGCTCGCTCACTCTAGTAACGATGTTTCCGAGGCCTCCCTGTCGTTCATGATCAAGATGTTCTTCCAGCGCCTGTAAACGCTGTCTGAGCAACGCCACCTCGTGCCTGGCCGAGGATGGCTCTGGTGCCTTGACATGGTAGCAGGCCATATGTCCGCAGTCGCAACTGGCACCGGGGGTTGACCGATTCAAAGAAAAGTGCGCGCAAGCACATCGCTGACCTTTGATGCCTGGGACCAGAAGGATATAGCGACAGTGACCCTGGGGAAGGTTCGCCCCGTCAACACTACCGCTGGGGCCTTGCAGCGGTGATGAGGAGGTGGTGGCCGACATCGAGCAGGTAGGGTAGTGAGGAGGTTAGGGTGCCAGTGTCAGTGCTGATGATCGACCGCTGCTAAAACAGCAAGCCCAAAAGGCAGATCTGTAATCCGGGCAAGATGCTATCGCAGGTAGAAAACAACGTGGTCGAGTGAAGTCCGGACGTGAGCTGAATGACAGACTGCGATCCTGTGGAGTGGACGGTCCATGGAACGGATCGAGAGGAGCGACGTGGGATTGCTGCAGCCGGCGATGAGGTGAGTGAGAGCGATGGCGGCGTTGAAGGAGACAAATGTGTGGACGCGATAGATGTCACAGGTCAAAGTAGTAAGTAGTTGGTCGAAGAGAAAGGCCTTGTTGCGGGCGGGTAGGGTAGGCGGGGGCGGCTCTTGAGATAACTACGGATACAACTGAGATAATTGACCGGGAGGTTTGCCGGGACCGGGAAGCATGGGTCTGGGCGAAGTGGGTTCGGGAGTCTGGACTTAAATGAGGGAACTGACCGAGTGAGAACATACCCGTGGTGTGGTATCTCTACCTACCTGGAGACGTGGGATTCCTGGGTGAAGAATCTGAGGTAAGGCACGGGACGCTACGGTAAGGTATGGATGGCACGGGCGGAGAGCGGATTCGGCTGGAGAGAGAGAGGGAGAGAGAGGTGCAAGGGCGATGGCGAGGATTTCGGGCTGATGATGAGGCGGATTGTGGAAGATGTTGGCCAAGTGGAAACAAAGTGGCATTGGATAGAGATAAAAAGGGCGTGTGCCTTAAGCGGCAAGGGGAAGGGTGGAAGACAGACGTCCAACAGGAGTTGGCCTTGTCAGGTTTTGCAGCGTGAACCGGGGGGTAGGGTTGCGACAGGGATCGAGTGGGTGACAAGGCTGGATCGAGTGGTGTGGGATCAATGAGGCCGAGGATGAAGGGCCGGCAAAAACGAGAGATATCTGCGCCGGCAGGGTACTTTGGATTTCTTGAGCACTGCCTTTCGGGTGGTGGTGGTGATGATACGGGGAAACGGGGGGCGGGAAAGTGGGCTCAGGCGGCGGGATTCCATCCAAGTTCGATACCTTACGGATAGGATAATGGGGATGGCGGAGTGGATCCACGGATACCTCCGCCGATGAATACCTTACCTGTGACCTACCTAAGTAAGGTGCCTTCAAGGCATCCATGGGGGCTCGCACTGTAAAATGTAGTGAATGCTGGCCCCGCCCCCGGAAAAACCTCACCCGCCACAAAGTGGTGGTGCCTTGCAGTGTTCACACCTTAAATGTAAGGTAGATAGGTACCTTATGTAAGGTAGGTAGGTAGGTAGCTCAGTTTGGTGTACCTTACACAGTGTGCATCATGATGGTGAGCAGCTTGGCATGTCGCACCGTTTTACATCACGGTTATCAATCAGCTCAACAAACCATTGCTAGGGCCTTCCCGCTGCAGGACGCGCCAGCGCCCGCCAGGTGCTTTATGAGCGGCCTGTGACTGGCGCGTGTGGGGGGCAACCAGATAAGACACCTCACGTACGGATACCGTACCTCAGGAACCTGCGTGGGTTGCTCACCTTCTTTAGCCGTACCTTGGCTAGAGGTTCAGTTGAACCAAGCACCCAAGCACTGTCGGGTTCGACTTGGAAGTGGCCAATGATTCGCTCATTCGGACGAGCCTTCACTTGGAAGAGTGCCCGGTTACCTCGTGGAAAGTAAGGGTACCAAAAAGTAGTGCCTCCCATGTGCCTGCCCGCTCGCAATAGACCCCCACGCCATCGGCCGGCCGCAAAACACAGAGGAGAACCACCCCCTCCGCCGACTGCTCGTTGACCCAACCAAAGGGCCATGCAGACGATGGGGCAATCAGACACGCCTATTGCGACGTTGCCCTGCGTCACATCTTTCATTGATATCTCCACGAGTACACACCTCCAGATACAATGATACCGCTGCTGTCCAAAACTCTCTTCTTGCCAGGAGGCAACACTCGGTGAGCGTTTCATTGTGGTCCATTGGACTGGTGCCCAAGATTGCGATCCTGTTCCCTGCGGGAACGCCATCCGATCCCGACGCTCCAACTCTTGGCGCGGGCGCGGTCGCGGGCGAATTGACATCGCAACCTGGCCTGATTCGACTGCTTTAACAACATCCCTGTACAGACCTGGCATCAGACTCTTCAGAGCACGAATGCAGTGTCCATCTCTGGCAAAATGGCCCGGCCTGCCTTATCATCTAGAAAGAATAGATACCTGCACTTGACTCAACTCACCGCTGATCGAGGCCGTCCACGTGTGGCTGGCCTATTTACACGTGTTCCTGGCAAGGAGAAAGCTGGTCTGCTCTATTAGTCCTTAGGTCTGGCCGACAAGACGGGCATAGCCGGCCATGATCACTGGAGTTGTGGCTTGCTTGCTTGCATACCTACGACAAGCATCGAGATATGGCTGCGATTAGTCTTTATTGTCGGAAGAACCCATCAACAGCCTAGACGACTCGTCAATCACGAATAGATTGCCGGCGAAGGCCTGCAGGGTCAGGATGGATTATTGCGGCGGTTACTCAGCCAACCAGATGGTGCAACTGCCCCCGCTGCCGTTCCCCGTCCTCGCTGGACGTTGGATTGGTCGCACCACCAGGACTGTGATGACTCCTTGGCTAGGCTGGCCCGGCCTTGTATGTAAGGCCGGGGATGGGGAAGGCCAACGGTCGGAGATGCGCACGCTCACCACACATTCTTGTTCTATTGAGGCTCTGCTTTCTGGATCAATGGGCGGATTCGGTGACAAAGTTGACGCCTTACTGGAGACGTACTCCAAGTGCTTGTCGCTTCTGGGGGGCCTGAAAGAATCAGAGCGAAACAGCCAACCACGACAACTCCGAAGATGCGTGCGTTCTGACCAATCCGAGGTGCGGCGAGTCTACTCATCGCGTCTCTCCCTCAATGGAAGCCACCTGGAGAAAGGAGATGGTACGCATGCGCCGACTCATTGCAGACCTCTCACATACTTACCGATGTCTTCCTCAGCCGCGGCCCGCTCTTCACTCAAGAGGGTCATCAAACGCCTGACTTCGGCCATGACGCGCCTGCTGCGGGTTATGACAAGAACCCAGAGCCCAGCCATCGACTACCGGTCGTTGAGGTCGTTGTCCAACTCGTCGCGCTTGGATGCCGTTAGAACCATCAACGATCTTTCACGACGGCTCAGCAGTACATCCCTCAAGTCCAAGTCGAGCAAGAAGAGCAAGCGCCACACAAGAATTATCCCACCAAACAAAGAGGTGAGGCCGAAGCATGGGAGGTCTACCAAGGGCAAATTCAGCCGACCGGAGGAGCTTGAGGTACGAGAACCGATGCCTGCTCTAATTGCGAGCACAGTTGTTGTTCCTCAGAACAGCCCGGACAGGCGCGTCTCAATGGCCACCATGTCGTCGGGAAGCACGAAGCTGGGTGAGGTTCGCCCTAGGAAGCTACATCGAAAGCAGTCAGACAACTCGGCCGTCTCAGACGTGTACAGCATGCCGCCAACGTATCCCCTGAGGCCGTACCATCCCGAGACCAAACGAAAGAGGTTGTGGGGATTGTTTGGAAGGGGGTGAAATATCAGCCGTCGGCTAGTTCACTATGAGAACGGTCGAAGTGACATGGCTTGGGGTCGGTTGAAGAATATGGCGAAGCAAAAGGAGCGGAGAAGCGTGCGTTGTGAGGGCGAAATGCGATTTTACGAATTATGCGGAATGCATGACTTATGATGGATTCAGATGACGCCACGAAAAGTCCATGTTGCGGTGCGGTAACTGACTGATAGACTTCAAAAATTGAGATTGTGGGTAGGTTGATACACCACCAGCGTAAGGGTATCGCAAAACGAATTCGTTCAGTATGGTAGGTACCTGTTTAAACCCGTAATGTACCTATACGCCGCGCTTCTGTGGAAGACTACAAGCATTACAAGCCCCGAGTCTCCGTTGGACGTCACTGGCTCTGCCCCACTACCTATCCACAATTCAATCCTGAGCTGCACCGCACCGTGGCTTTACTCTCCGATGTCTGATTGAGACGCCAGCGACAACCGCGACGCCGAAATCACCCCCAGAGGTACCTACGGTCCCTTCGTCATCTTTGCTGCTCACCTCCTCTTGTCGCAAGGCGCGAGTCCAAGCCGATTCTTTGCTTGAGATCTCCTCAAATCGATCGAACATGCCGGATCGGCCCAACTGAAGCAAAACCACACGTCGCACCCCTCACGATGGCTCCTTCAGACCCCGCCGTCAACCTCAGCGCCTTGCTGCGTGCAGCCTCCATACAAGACCATGAAGAGGTCCTCAAAGCCGCAAACGCTTCAATAAAGGAGTCCAAGACCGACCTCACTGCCCACCGCACCCGCGTCGTCGCCCTGCTCAAACTCGATCGCTTCGACGACGCCCTTCGCGCCATAGCCGATGGTGGTGACAAGCTCCAGGATGCGTGTGTGCTCGAGAAGGCTTACGCCCTGTACAAGACTGGACAACTTCAGGCGGCCCGCGAGATCGCAAACTCGAGACCGCAGCGCAGTTTTCGACACGTTGCTGCCCAAGTTGCTTACCGCGCCGAGGACTTCAAAGACGCACTCGATCTCTACAAAGGTCTGCTCGATGATCCTCAGCACGAGGAGAACGACCTCAACATCAACTACCTGGCCTCCGCTGCTCAATTGGAGTGGAAAGCCGTGGACGACTTGAGTGACGAGGTCGCGCCGACCCCCCTCGCGGCAGATATCGATACCTTCGAGCTCGCATATAACAGCGCCTGCGGCTGCATTGCTCGCGGAGAGTTGTCCAAAGCATCGACGCTGCTCCAGCGCTCGCTGCGCTTGTGTGATTCTGAGGATCTTTCCGAGGATGATAAACAAGCCGAGATGGTACCAATCATGGTCCAGCAGGTCTACGTATATTCCAGGTTAGGCAAGCTTGGGGAGGCACTTGACGTTCAGAATCGCCTGTCTGTCTCGGAGTAAGTTTCGCTCAGCTGTTCAATTCTCGACCTCGCTAACATCTGCGCAGTAGTTGGGACGCCGAGTCCAAGCTAATTAACCAGAATAACAAGTCGGCTCTCGCGACCGGAGTCGAGAATCCTTACCTCGCACAGCGTGAAGGCGAACTGGCATCTGCTCTGAGAAAGCAGGCAAAGCTTTTCAAGTACCAAGAGAGTCCACTGAAGCAGAACCAGTATGTTTTGGGCGTCCAGACACAAAAGCTGGTCGGCGTCTACCGGGGCACTTCTAGAACCTTGGCCGAGGCTACGCCTACGGTCTCCGCCAACACAAACGTCCTCTCTGCCATCAACGCTGCGGCCCATGCTCTACGTCCATCCAAGAACGTAGACGTCAAGCACGTCATTCCTCTGCTTGAGAAACGCCCCACGGACGTCGGATTAATTCTCACTATTATCCAGCTCTATCTCGCCGCGAACAACACCGGTGCGGCACTGTCTATTCTCGAGACGTTCCTGCACAATCTGGAAAAGCAGGGAGCGCAGGATGTTCGATTCTCCCCTGGTCTGGTCGCTCTGGTGGTCTCCCTTTACAAACAGCAAGGACGCCAAACCGGTATACGCACAGAGTTGGCCAAGGCTTCCTCGTTTTGGGAGAAGCGGAATGGTCGCCACGCCGACTCGCTGCTCCGCGGTGCCGGCTCCGAGTTGCTCAAGTCGTCTGATCCTGTTGATCTCGCTGCCGCAGGTGCTGCTTTCGAGAAGCTTTGCGAGAAGCCCGGCACCGATGCGGACCATATTGCAGCCGCAGGACTGGTGGCATCGTTCGCCACATCAAACGCATCCAGGGCCAAGCCATACCTGACGGACCTCCCTCCCATTGAGAGTCTCATTCAAGGCATCGACGCTGGCCAGTTGGCTGGCGAAGGCATCGCTACACTCGCGACGCCAGCTAATCAGGCTACGAAGCGAAGAATGGAAACCCAGCCAACTGAAGCAAGTGCCAGAAAGAAGCGCAGAAGAAAGCTGCCTAAGAACTATGAGGAGGGGAGGAAAATGGACCCCGAGCGATGGCTGCCTCTCCGCGACCGCTCTACCTACCGGCCCAGGGGCAAGAAGGGCAAGAAGAAGGCAAACGAGTCCACGCAAGGTGGTTTGGCAAAGGAAGTTGAGACGTTGGAGCTTGCAGGTGGCGCCGGATCTGTCAAGGTCGAAAAGGCGCCAACGTCGTCAAACAAGAAGAAGAAGAAGGGTAAGAAATGAACGGCTTGGAGGACGCAGGTGTGAGATCGAGGACTGGCGCGCTAGATTACAACGCAGTCTACGCAACTCCCCGTATCCAAACAAACCGACCTATGAGTAAGGAGAAGAAGGAGAAAAGATTGAATTCGCTGTGCAACAGGTCTTTCTGTGAGACTTTCGACCGCTGTGCTCTACTCTACACCACAGCCATGTCGGCCGTCCTTTTTGTTGACCCCAGTCGCCTCACAATGCTATGCCCAAAGTCCAGTGTCCATTCCCGCTTAGCCATGAGCCCACACATATGTACACATCTGCCATTAGATCGACCATAAACACCTCCTTTTTGTTGTCAAGAAAAACAAAGAATGACGCTATGGGTGCATACCCACCAGCGCCTGATTTAGTGAGGGTTTCCTCACCTCTATCGCTTCAGACCAACGGATCAAACATCCGTCACCCTGTCGACGCTCTCTAACGTATCAGGGCCATCAAGCGAGCTGCCTCGTTCGGCGTGACGGCTTAAGACGCATTTATAGATGCACTCGGCCGAAGTGGGAGTCTCGTCCCCAGGGCAGGCAGCGATTTCGATGACTAGGCCTTGACCGCCTGGATCGGAGGACTAGGTAGTCGCTGCATCTCGTCGCTCTTTTCTTCTTCGCGTTTCTCCTGTCCTTGAGGCGTCACCGGCTCGAGGGGAGATAAGAACGCTGCACGGATTGGCTGCGGACTTGCCACAGTAGGGCTTGTCACGCCCGGACTCGCTACGACGGCGTCACTTTCTTCTTCGTCTCCAGACTCGTTTTCAATTGGGGGCAGCGGCGTCCTGCGTCCTTCGGAAAAGCTGACTGCGGCTTCACTCTCACCATCAGACGGCACTGAGAGTTGACCTCTGAAGGCCGGCGACCGAGAAGCGTGCGCAGAAGAATACTTTCGGTGAAGTTCACGAAAGCTTCTTGCCGTTGCTGTGCTAGCGCTTGCGCCCGACTCTCTGCGCTCCTTGGGAAGTAACGATTTATTCAGTGCGTCGCGGAAATCTTCCTCGACGCTGGCGGGAGAAGCAGGCTCATCGCGCTGACCCTGCTTTCGCTGCCTCAGACGCTCCTCGGGAGTCAGTTGTTGCAGTTCGGAACCGAAATTGATGACGGACGCCTTCTTGCCGTGTACCACGAAACTTCCAGTGCCTCTAGTAAGCACGTCTTCGCGACTAGCGTCTTCTAAAGCGCTTCCGGTGATGACCTCTTTTCCCTTTCTGCTACGATGGTGCGAAAGATGGCCAGCGCTCTCCCTGAGGGTGCGTTGCAGGCTTCGTCGGATCTTTGTCCTGTCTTGCTTGTCGATGGACCCCGGGGTATCACGCGACTCGGAAGCATCTCCAGCCTCAGAGAGTGACCCGGTTCGCTTTCTTTCAGGCGGATTGCCATGAGATTCTGATCCCAGCAAGCCTGCCTGCTCAAGGAGAACACGTTCGTTCGCGTCCACGTCATCATGATGTTCCTCAGTCACACTCGTTTCTTCGTCCTTCCCTCTTCTAGGAGTCGGATGCTGCTGCGGGCTGTAGAACGTCGGCTCACCAGAGGATTGACTAGAACTGGAGCAGGGTCGTTTGCGGTAGACTGGCTCTTGGGATTTGGAGACCTTGGAGTCCCATGAGTTCTGGTGTTTGTGGGGGTTGAAGGTCGCACTTGTAGGCGGTGTCTGGTAAGCATCATTTGTTGGCGATTCTGGCTCCCCTTGCGCCATCTTCGCAGGCCCTTGAACCACGGAGATGGCTGCCGATGACCTCCGCCGGCGGCGTCCCACACTTGTCACTGATCCTGCCTCGAGCATGGATGGTCTTTCTCGGGATGGCGACGCTTCGCGGATCTCATGGCCATTTTGAGACTTGGTCGGCACCAGACCTTGGAGTCGCTGCTCTTCGGCCATATCCTTCAAAAGGACATCTCGATGACACCTGGATTTCCACATGTCCATACGAATCCACTTGATCTTCACATCCATGTGAGCAGCAGCCGAAAGAACCTGATCTCTCGTCTTGGCTTGGATGGGCGAGAGAATCTGGAGATGGCGAGCGTTTCTCAGATGGATCTCCAGCTCTTGCTCCTTGATGGCGATTTCTTCATCTGCTTTAGCAACAGCGTCCATCATGGTCTGCCGTCGTTGAGCCTGAATGGACTCGGCCTCCTGGTGATCAATTTTACCACGAACGATGCTGACCTCGCCGGTGGGAGTCTGAATAACCTGCGCTGAGGCCGAACTTCCAAGTCTCCTGATCCCCCGTCGACTTTGTCCCTCGTAATTGCCGCCCACGACGCCTCGCATGCGGACGCCAGACGTAGTGAAGGCTGCAGCGTAATTCAATTTGGCGAGCCAGTCGTTCATCTCCTCTTCATTGTCAGCAAGAAGAACCTCCTCGACGAAGGCCCCGGGCCGAGAGTACTTGAAAGCGTTCTTGTGCTTCTTATACGTGGAGTCTACGAGCGCAACGGCTTCCTTCGTCGGGAGATATCCATCAGGCTTGAACTCCGGTAATGGCGGTTTAAACGTAATTGGTTCGCCGTAAAAGCCTTGTTTAACGTGCGATTCGTATTGGTGCATCAAGTTCTTGATCCATGTGGTGTTGCGGAAGAAATAAAGCTGGGCGCCCGTAAGAATGGCCCCCCATTCCTGCCAGGGTGATCTGGTTTTTTTCTTCTTGACATCCTTCCGCCACAAAAGACCGACCTTTGTGATTTTGATATCGACCACGCCCTGCGCCGCTTCGGCAGGGTTGATAGCGCTCTTTTCGTCGCGAAAGGCATCTGGCCGTGACCTGGCCGACACAATTTGCAAAACACCAGTTCTGAAGAATGTCCGCTGAAGCTCCTTTACGTTGAGGTCTTTTGCCGTTCCCAAGTAGTCATAGTGGTCCTCGAGCTCCATCACATCTTTCAGACTCGGCCTCAGTATATCCAGCTTGCCGTCTATGATCAGCGTATACGGATCAAGGGGTTCACGGTTAGACCGCTTCGCGGCCGTTTCCGGCGTGCCTCCAGGAAATAGTGTTTTCCTCTTGGCTCTGTTCGCTATAAGTCGATCACCATTGAGGTCCACGTCGTCCTCAACGTGTATGAAGGGGGTGTAAGTGATGTTGTCGTAAAAGCATCGAAGGATCGGGTCCGAAACACCCTCGCCTTGGGTATTCTTCAAATAGTCAGGTTGCTGCATCTTGTGCTTGTTATTCTTGTTGAACACATCCGTATGCAGAATGAGAAGCGAAAACGCCACGAAGTAGGCCTGGTCAGGGGAGGCATAAATGCCCGGGTTGCATTCGTGATAGCGATTCGCAAACGCCTGCAAACACCTGTCGATCTGCTGCGTCTCTTTGGGCAGCTCGGCTTCCATGAGTAGTTTCCGGATTGCCATGTCCATCGGGTCACCAAAGAAACTAAACCGGCGCATGTAACTCCGCAACACGGCTGCCGCGAAAGGATCACTTCCCTTGGACAACGCACTCGCAATTACTCCTCTACTGAGAATCTCTTCTATCCTGGCCAAATACTTGGCGGGCGTTTCGTCCTCGAGCTTCTCAGGCAAGGCAATCGGCTCCCGCGCAATCTGGAGTGAATTGTTCTTGGATGTGTTGGAGCCAGGGGTTGCAGGTGTCAGCGTGCCCGCTCTCTGGCCCAGATCAGAGTTTTGTCGCAGTCTGTTCAGGCCAAAGAGATCGCCAAAGCTCTTGCGCCCGATCGACGTGGATGTTCGGCTTGCTCCTGGATCGAGATGCCCTTCCAACGAATCTCTGCCTAAAGAGCTCATGGTCGAAGATCTCCCTCGGCGTTGCAACCGGGCTCGGGTCGGTGATGACTGACCGGAGTGAGTCGAGCCGGGACGAAATAGTGCAGTTGCCGGTGAGGGGTTCGTCTTGAGTGGATGCTGATCAGGGGCAGAGGACGACACGGAGTCGGCGTGTGTGCTGTAGCTTGATGGGGGCCTCGAGCCATGATGGGGTCGCGGAGTGCCCTCTCTGGATGTTGACGCGATGGGTGGGTGAGCTGCGCCTAATGACGAGGATGTTTCATTATTGTCTGCGCCGTTGGCGGCGGTCTTGCCTTTCTGAGGCAGATGTGATAAGTCGAACATGGGCGATGGTGTTTTGGGTTTCCTGCGACCCAGGCGAAAGAAGCTAGTGCTTGACGGCACTGGAGGAGAGTTAGCTGCGGTGCCTGCAGTGCCTGCGGTAGTTGTGGGGTATAGTTGTTCCCCGAAGCTCGCATCGGATCGCGATGATTCGGAAGCTCGATTGGCGGGGAGTGACAAGGCGATGCCATCGTGATGGTCTCCGTTGGTGGGCGCCCTGGACGAAGACGGGCGGTTGGGTTCCTCGAAAGTGACAAGAGTAGGCCGATTTCTAGAAGCGAGGTCTTCCAGGCCCGTTTTCCTCCTAGATGACTTCCACGTCATGGCTCGGTTGCCCCCATCCTCGCTATTTCTGGGCAGCTCACCAGATCTTCGAAATCGGTCGGCAAGTCGCATTCGAGACTGCTTCTTCTGCGGTACTTGGAAATCGACTGTGGGTGCGGTCGTGATAATCTCAGGGGCTGGCGCGGATGGTTAGCACAATGAACAGGGTCAGGCGCGCTTGGTGCCGCAAAGGGACTGGAGGAGACACACGCCGAGGGACAGGGGGAGGCTTTTCAGCCTGCTGCTTGGCCCTTAATGACAGCTGGGAGTCGGAGGCATTGCGAAACCTCAGGATTGAAAAGCGACGATGCTTAGGCGTCTCATCCTGGATTGGAGGAGTATCTGGTCGAGCGTCTGCGTCGTCAGGATCGAGCCGTGTCGAGGTATCGATGTCACCGTCGGTTTGCGCGGGCACAGTCAGGGAGGTGGAAGGGGTTTCGCTTATGGAGGCAGACACGGAGACTCGGGGGACTTCTTGTGGTGGGCGTTGCGGCAAGGGTAGCGGCGGTTGTTGAGGCTGTTGCTCTTGCTGAGGCTGCTGCTGTTGCTGAGGCTGCTGGGGTGGAAAATGTTGCGGAAGCGGCGGGAGCTGAGGCGCATCGGCATCAAGAATGGTATGGCGCCTCATATCGGTCTCGCTGACCATGTTGCCGCGACGGCGTAGAAAAGGCATGACGGCGATGGGTCATTGTTTGCCAGGGATACAACGTCAAAGTGGGAGGATGACGACGGCAGCCAGGAGAAGGGAAGCCGTTGGATCCGGGCACTAGGCCATCAACACAGCGGGCAGCGGAACAGGGAGGCAGGCCACATTGGAAGTCAGGGTCGTGATGGTGATGGCGGGAAAGAGAGAGCAATTGAGGAAGGGGAAAAGAAGTTGGCGGGCAGTCAGCGAGATGAGGTGAGGTCCAAGTTAGGTAGTCGGTAAGGCAGGCAAGTAAGATAAGGTAGGTAGGTAGGTAGGTACCTGACGGTGAGTTGAGGCAAGGTAAGGTCCGGTCAGGAAGGTAGGGAAAGGGTATTAAGCCAGCCGCAGTGCAACGCAGAAGACAGGACGCCAGGGCATCCTCCGGTTGGGTACGGGGCAACGTAATGCGGTGCGGTTGCAGGGGATCGAATAAGGGAGGGCGAAAGGATGGATGGAAAAGTGAGGTGGGGAGAAACGAACGACGTCCAGGGAAGGAAAGGGAAGAAGGGAAATGCTCGTGGCTAGTATGTGTTGTTAGGTATGACGGGAGTGCAGGGTCGGGGATTCGTAGGTGCGGTGTTGCACGCAAGGCAAGGCAAGGCACCTTACGACGAGAGATGGTGATGGACGAATAGAGCGAGAAAAACAGGGGAATTCGATTGGAGATGGTGTCGCGTTGTCGACGAGTCCAGAGCCAGGGCCAGGGCCAGAGCCAGAGCCAGAGCCAGAGCCAGAGCCAGAGCCAGAGCCAGAGCCAGAGCCAGAGCCAGAGCCAGAGCCAGAGCCAGAGCCAGAGCCAGAGCCAGAGCCAGAGAGCAAGTATTCGTAGGTAAGGTGGGAGGGGGTAGGAAGGTAAGCACCCGTGCTGGCTCGGGCTTAATTGCACTAGGTAGGCCTAAGTAGGGCCACCGGATTGGTATTGGCGGCTCCCGTCCTGCTGGGCTGCTACCTTAGGCTGCTGGGCTGCTGGGCTACCTACCTAGGTACTGCAGGATGTCAGTGGACGGCATGGCAGCCGGGCGGGCAACAGGGTCAGGCCCGGTGATGTACTCTGTATTGATTATCCCATTGTCGTTGTGTTGTTCCTCAGACAGCCCGGGCAGCCCCACCAAGACCTTCTATTACCTACCTACTAAGTAGGCACCTTCACAGTCGGATACTTTACATGCGTCTCCAGCCCATAAGGTAGTGTACGAACACTCGACGCAAGGTACCTCAAAGTAAGGTACCTTAGGTCTTCATACCTTTTACCTCCCTGCTGAGCCAGCCCAGCCTCCAGGAGCCGGGACCGCTGACATGGCATGCACGCCGGGACTTTTTATTGATGGCAGCATGGTCTACCACCCCGTAGCCTGGCCACCAGTCCTGGTGGCCCGGCCCAGCTCAGCCCAGCCCAGCCCACTCCAAAAGAGACGGGACCGCGACTTTGACACCCCAGCAGTGCTTCGTACCGCAGTACTTAGGTATCCGCAGGTATTCATGGTCCGTCTCAGGGGTTGTGGTCGTGGTTGTGCTTGTGGCGTATAGACTCGAATGTCGTGGTCTCGGCCCCCAACTCTTGTGCTGCCCCTACCTACAAATACCTATAGCCAGTCTGCCGTGAACACAGTCGAAAGTCGCCATGATCGCTGCAGATCTCCAGTGTCAATTACCCGGGATTGCCTCTGTGAAATGAGCACCCCGTCGATTGAAAGCGACATGATACCCTTCCGGTCTCTGCGTCGACGTCTAATCTCTGTTCCAAGACACTGACCACGCTCGCCTCTCGTCAATGTTTTCTTCGGCTGCAAAGTACATGGAGCTAAAGAAAGGGGGCAATATCAAGCAACAAAAAAGGGAAAACTGCATGACTTGGACAACAACGCTTTCGTCTCAGTGAGTTCTTGGTCGTAAAGATGCTCCTGGGTTACCCCAACGGTCCCGATGACACGCGGGATTCAGGAAGGGGGAAGGGGGGGAAAGAAAAAAAGAAAAAAAGAAAAAAAACCCCCCAAGGCACAGGTAAGCGGCTGCCTGCGCAAGGTTGCTTCCCTGCTCTCCGACTCGGGGGGCGAGTGTCATGCTGCAGAACCTGTCGCAATCTCTCCCGTTCGCCTCTATGTGACCTCTTTCATCATTATCCAAGCCCCCTCTCATGTTTAGCGTTTTTACAACTATCTGCCTGACGAGACGAGACGAGACGACAACGACGACGCCGGCGACGACAGCGACAACACCCACGCCGAGCCTCCAACATGCGTCCCCAAGTGTTACTGCTCTCGGCTGCTAGTCTTACGCTCCTGGCCCCTTCCGCCAATGCCGCCCGCATCGATCTTCATCATAACGATCACAATTCCCCGACCTCTCGAATCTTCCCAATTCTGACTTGGCTGCGCGACGGTGCAATTGAATTCGTGTTCGGCCCCGCGCCGGCCAGGTCGACCGCCCGTCCTGCTTCGCACAAAGGGAAAGCCAGCCTTCGGACCAAATACAATGATCAGGTCGTTCTGCGATTCAATTTGACTATCCCTGAGGAGGAGACCGTCTTCTCCGAGGCTGCCACGCGCCTGTTTCTCGATGTTTGGGCTTTTAACCAAGACTATGTCGACATCCGCATCCGCAATGCCGACATTGCCTCCCTTTTGGGTCTGCTGCCCTCGTCTCTGAGGTCCTCATATTCCACATTGATTCCTGATCTGGCTGCGTCTGTCTACGATACCTATCCGGCCGTCGCGGCTCCCGCACGAAATCAACGCCTCGATGACCGCCGGACATCAGTCCAGCTGTCCCGTCACGAAGGCGATAACGTCTTCTTCCAAGAGTATCAGCCTCTTTCTGTACGTGATGGCACCGCCTTCAACTATCTCCCAATGCCATGGAACTAACCTAGCCTAGGTCATTGTGCCGTGGATGCGCCTGATGGAAGCCATGTTCCCCTCCATTACTGAGATGATCAGCATCGGGCAGTCCTTCGAAGGTCGCGACATTCCCGCCCTCAAGGTCGGGGTCAAAACACCTGAAACTCCTGGCGGCAAGAGGAAAACGGTTGTTGTCACTGGAGGCATGCATGCGCGCGAGTGGATATCTACAACCACAACAAATTACGTCGCGTGGTCCTTCATCACGTCCTTTGGCAAGGAGCCCATGATCACCAAGCTGCTCGAGCACTTCGACTTCGTCTTCGTTCCTGCGGTTAACCCTGACGGCATCGAGTACACCTGGCAAGTCGACCGACTCTGGCGCAAGTCCAGACAACAGACCGGAATGCAGTGGTGCCGTGGATTTGACCTCGATCACGCGTTCGGTTTCGAATGGAGCGGTTTGGATTCTGAGAACGACCCCTGCTCCGAGAGCTATGGCGGCACCGAGCCCTGGGAGGCAACCGAAGCCATTGCACTTGCAAAATGGGCGAAGAGCCAGTCTCAGGAGAAGGCTGAGTTCGTGGGGTTGATCGATCTGCACTCGTACTCTCAACAGATCCTCTTTCCATTCGCTTATTCCTGTGACGTGGATCCACCCAATGTTGAGAACCTCGAAGAACTCGCGACCGGACTTGCCAAGGCCATTCGTCTTTCCAATGGCGAACAGTACTCGGTCACTTCTGCCTGTGAAGGTGCCGTCGCCTCTCGAGGCGGTGACAGCAACGTCCGGCGCATCGAGACTGGCGGGGGATCGGCCATCGATTGGTTCTATCACGAGCTGCACGCTCACTACAGCTACCAGATCAAGCTCCGTGACACTGGCAGCTATGGCTTCCTGCTTCCCAAGGAAAATATTGTGCCTGTCGGCGAGGAGATCTTCAATGCCATGAAGTATTTTGGGGACTATCTGCTGGGGAACAATGGTATCGAGAAGTCGACCGAATTCTTACGACCGGCAGACGAAGACGCAGATCGTGGCGTCGAGCTTAGACGGATGAGGCGTAGGAGATGAACACGATCATTTGCTGGCATTGAAGGATGACCATCAATGTGGAGGCGCGCGAAAGTGAGGGCGAAAGGGATGGACATGATGTATAAGACTGGGGTAAATATCTCTTTTCCCCTTTGTGATGAAGTGTGTACGACTGGCGTTACGGCAAAGGCGGGTTTACATTAGAGAGTATGAGACATTCATGTCATGCACGCAGCGATACGCGAGCACCTGCTCGCGTTCCCCTTTTACTTTGCTTCTTTTATTTTTCTCAGGGGAGGGAAGACTTGCGTTTATTGAGTTACAGGCGCGCAACTTCCTACAAGATTGTCTGACAGCGTTTATAATTACGGAGTTCATATGAGTCGGTGCCGACTGACCCTGACTTGAGTTACCAGTCCATAATCATGGCAACGGATGTGTAAAGAGCCATGAACTTAAGGGCGGTATCGGTGAGGAACGACCCAATTGAACCACTGTTGTTCAGTCAGTCAGGGCATTCTCTGGTGCACATTATGCCATGGAGCACTCACCGGACGCGACCTGCAGGGCCGGCAGCGCTCGTGTAGCCAAAGGCGTAGATTAGTCGGGAGAGGGCCCAGCCCGCTCCGATAGCAGCGCTGGCAACGGGGAAGCGAAGACCGGAGATGAGCAAGGCGCCGAGGAACGAGGGCTGGTTCTCGGTGAAGTTGGCGTGGGCGCGTTGCGCTACGGTGCTCATCAGTGGCCGGCCTTGCAGGATTCCGAAAAAGGGGGGGCGGGGGCAGACGTACCGCAGTTAAACATGTAAGCCTTGCGGTCTTTCTCAGCAGCCTCGTTGGAAGCGTAAGGTACCGGGTAGACGAGACCGCTAGCCTTGCGGAACTTGCTCGTCAGAAGAACATGGGTAGTGTTGATGAAGAAAGTCGAGGCAGCAACGAGAAGGACGTAGCTACAAAGGTTCATGCGTTAGCAATGGGCATGGCGTCCTTGTCCCAAGGTGCTAACAGTCGGCGAGGAAGCTTTAGACGGAGAACGTGACATACCCGTACTCATCGGGGACCTGCAGCGTCATGGGCATTGTGGCTAGGAGTGATGCAGTGTTTTTGGTGGGCTAGTGGTAAATTGACGATTATTGATCGTATTGGACTCTGTTCCGCTGCGTCCGAGAAGTCAATTGAGCAGGGTAGAGTAAAGTTAGTTGAGTGATGGAAGTTGTCTAGTTATAAACTTAGATGAGAGGAGGAGGAACTTGACAACGGGGACCAAGGTAGGCAGCTCGAGACGCCAGGTGTCTGGGCTCTTGTCCGCCCCGATTCTCCGCTCGCTAAGAGGAGCAGCTTACGGATATTCAATGTCCATTCCCGTTCAGCTGGTCCCTGACGAAATACACCGAACTGTGCCCACCCACGTTGCGACGGCGAGTCTGCCTACTAGCTACCGACGGGATGGAGACGGCCACACTTAAAGCCCGACTACCGATTCACGGAAACCTGGCCAATGAACGTTGGTGAAACGAGGTAACGCTGGTCCCGGACGAGGTCTGATTGTCTTGCAAGACCTTTGCCTTGCGGAATTCGGCGGAGTTTGGTTTTTCTGTTGCGTGTGCGATGGAAGACCTCGGATTTCAGACGACACCAATTGTCATCAAAGACCCAGGAGTTTCGATGGCGTCCCGAAGAAGTCGAAGCCAGCAATGAAGCCATTCGCAGTCTATTTCAGCCCTACATGAAGCTTGAGCATGCGAGTGATTTTAACTTCCAATAAGGTGCTGACCCAATCAGCACGCCATTTTAACTCCCGCTTCGCCATCAACGTGCTGCTGGGGGTTTTGACTCCAAACGCAGTAATTGTTCATAGCTTGTGGCCACCATCTCGGCCTTCAGGCATAGCTTCCACAGCCTCTTGTGCCATTTTCTATGTCTGCATCCATTTTACGCCAAGATGAGACTCTATGAGGAGTGAAGTATCGTCTCTTCACCCCGTGCACCGATCCTCCGGACGCACCCAGTCCAGCCCTAGGCCCTCAAACACCCTCCTCTCCGCCGTTAACATGTCTGGGGCTTTTCCATTTCCCTCCAGGTCCAACCAGCTACCGTCAAGGCGACTGCGGATACCACTGCTGTCGAACTTCAAGTCCCGCTGCTTCTTGCAGTAGCGGCGTAGATCCCGCTGGAACGTCGTGTCCCCGCTCCATCCCAAAACAGCACAGCCAACCGTTTTCCAGGGGCTGATTATAATGTCTACCCTTCGATGCGGTGGCCTCTGGCTGGCGGAATCGACGCTGCTGGCCCTGCCTCGATCGCTCATTTCCGGCTCCTGCCAAACCACGAGTGCTTTGTCCAGTGTATCAAAGCCACCCCCGCTTCCCTGATTTCCGTCCCAGCTGACTGGTCGCTGGCCGCGCTCGCTATTGTGGTTGCTCAACGTGAGGGTGTGGGTTATCTGCCCGCTCTTCTCAAGGCTCACCACAAGCTTCTCGACGAAGTTGAGTGTGGCACACTCATCTGGATGACTGATGATCACATCCACGTCCCCGCTGTCGTGCTTCCCACGACGGTACCCACCAACGATGACCATCTGGTATCCAGGACTGAATTTGCGCGCATGCTTCAATATTGTGTTGGCAATGGACTCGACTTCGACACGAGTAATTTTGAGCTTGAGCTCCTCATAGAACTTGACACCGATTTGCTGGACGCGTGACAAGTCGTCCCAGCCATATTCTACTATATCGTCCAAATCTCGCCACCCTACGTTTCGGTTAGCATAGTTTTATGCCGAGAATTTTGGTAACCCGCCTTTCTTATAAAAGTCTCGAGCGGTGGCGTCGCCAACTCCCCAGATGTCATAGAACGTCCGTAACACCGATAATTTGGGATCTGCTTGAGCTTCAGAGGCCTCGTGGAGCCTGCCTGCGTCTTTCCATTCATGCCACAGCTCAGCAACCTTAGTGCCGCAGCCGGGCAACCTGGCAACCTCTGTTCAACGATGAGAGTCGGCACCGCATGTTAGATATCATGTAGGCACTGACTGACCTTGCGGGCTTGAAATATTGCATGGGTATGCGGATAATGTCGCAATCGAGGTGGAATATGCTCTCACGCCGATCTGATCACCCATGAGTTTCCTCGTTGTCCGAATCGCTTTCAATTCCTCGATGAATGCTGCATTTGCAGGGTCAGCAGGCGTTGTCCGCTGACATGCGTACGTTGTCCTCAAAAAGCCAGGTACTGGCGCCAGAGTGATAGTCGAGTCGTGCTCTGAGGTTGTTTGTCTCAGCAGCGAAGGCATCGTTGTCCGTTGACTCGCTGATGCTGACGCATTTTCCTCCGCCCGACGGAACACAGGCTGAATGTCCTGCAACGTCGTGTCTGCGGCAGCACGAGCTAGTATGTCGCTGCCTTTCACTGCTACCAAGGTACTGGATTCACCACACTTACGGCCCTCGTAGATGACGAAGTCACGAAGCGGAAGGACCCGGCCCTGATCAAGGGATTCAGTAAGCCAGTTGAGCTTTACTACTCGAACGATATTGACTTCGAGAGATTTCAGGAGTGTCTGCGGGATTGGCCAAGCAGCTGATCCATTCCTATGGCCATCCTCGGTATGCGCAGATGAATCCCTGTCGCTTGAGCCTTCATCCCGTTTTCGCTTATGCGAAGAACCTGGAGGCTGTGACTCGGTGGCCGCCTCCACTGGCACTGTCTGTAGTTTTCTCTGCCGTAGCTCGAATAAAGCTCTTTGCCTCTTCGAGATATTGCCGAGAATCACTTCAGCCTCTTTTATGTCGTAAGTCAGGCTTGGAATCTTCTCCTCGAGCTCATGAAGCCGATCAGCGTCAAGGTGCGTAGGCAAGAGAAAAATGAGCGGAAATTCGAGGTCTGTCGCCATTCTCGTAGCCGTAGCTGAGGGTATTGGTGATGCTCCGGCAAGCAAAGAGGAAAAAGAAGAAGAAAAAAGAGAAAAAAAGTCGGCTCGGGAGGCTGGCGGGCGCGGCGCAGCCGAGTCAAGAATGAGGGTTGGGTTGATATGCATTCGAATTGCCAGCCAGACGCTTGCTGCACCGCAGGTCAGCCGTGTAAATGGAGGCGGTGCCTGCGAACTGTACTGCGCTGGGTGGGTTCCGAGGGTAGTAGCTTTGAAAAAACGTTTCATCCGCGGCCATCTACAGACGCGACGCTGACATCATCGTCGCCGAACCAATGCGCAATCGCACTGCAAATTTGCATGCTTCACTGAAACCGCTTCCCAAACATTCTTCTTAGATGATATCGTGTTATGATTAGTTTAGTTCTCAAGAGCCTTTTAAGTAGTAGTACATTGAGTAAACGCGCCCTCAGACGTCCTCGAATTCGACGTCTTCATCACTCTCGCCGTCATCTGGCATCTCTACCTTCACCCTCTTTGCTGGTAGTTCCTCCGTATCAGCAGCAGGTTCCGCCTTCGGGATTGGTGTGTTGTTTCCCATTGGAGTCACGTCTTCAAAAGCGTCTTCTTCTTCCTCTTCATCGTCGTCCGAGCCCTCCTCCGCGAGGGCCCTCGCAGCTTCAGCAGCTTGTTCGGCCTTAAGACGAGCAAAATAGTCGTCCAGTTCTGCATGTTCTTGATTATCGCCTGACTTGGCCAAGGCTTCCTTGCTGTCGACTTCCTCAACCTTAGCCGCAGGCGTCGGGCCCGCGTCAGCAGTGAATGATTCACCCGTGACAGTGCTGTTGGACATCCACGAAGGAAGTGCGTTTTGCTGTGCAATCTTCTCCTTCCGCGCCTTCTCCGCCGCCTTCTCAGCCTCTGATGGACCGTCCGTTGTCGAGATGCTGACCGACATGGATTTGGGACCGACATTATCGAGACCCTTGACCGCGGTCGGTTGCAGTGACGAGACCGGTATGGTTGTGACGGTTTGGTAACTGGCATCTCGCACTACTGGCAGGGCTTTGCTAATTGCGATGTCGAATGTATTGTCGGGAACCACCATCTCGTCGATGCGTGGTAGCAACTCGGTTATGAACTTGAACTGGTTGTTCAGCCGTGTCGACTGCTCGTGGCCAGTCGAGTTGCGCTCGAGATCGTGCGTAAGAGACGAGCCACACCGGTGGCAGACGAATCCTTCGGGTCCAACATTGTCTAAAACCTCCATCTGCGTCCACTCCGCCTTGCAACGTCCGCAAAAGTACTCCTTGCGCTCGCTTGCTGGGACCGTGGTGCCCTGGATCTGCTTGTCGACGGTGTATACACGCCACTTTATGGCATCAATGGTCTGGCGATAGTCGATGTAGTAGTAGGTGCGATTCACTGGTCGCGGTTTCGCCTCGGGGTTCTTGGGATCCTCGCGATATTCTAACCTCGTGTATCTGAAGTGCGCCCGGCGTCAGCTTCAACCGGATACCACAAGAGGAAGATTGCGAGCATACACAGCCAAGAAGCGATCCTCTCTTAGCTTTCCGCAGGCTTTGTGGAGGTCTTTTGTGTTTGTCGCCATCAAGTAGGCCAGGTCGTCGTCGCGCAGTCTGTGATGTCCTACTGTTAGCAACGCAACCAGCGGCAGAAACAGAAACCGAGCCTACGCTGAGTGAATGATGAGCGCGTCGATGATTAGGATGTGGCGCGTCTCATAGAAGGCGCGCATTACCGACTTGACGAGCGTTTTGGCAAGATCCAGAGGCTGCGCCATGGTGTGCAGTTCTTGCTGAGAGGTTTGCTGATTGTAGACCACCCGGCGAAGGTGAAGTAGGCAAGCCAAAGAATGAACTTTTGGCAGTAAGGTAGTTAGTGATAGGTAGGTATCTACCTTACCTTAGGCAGATGGTTTAGCTGCGGCAAAGTACCTAAGGGTGGGGCTACCCTCTAAAGTACCTAGGCGCCCGTGCTTCTTCTCCGTGCGTGTGTCCTGGCTTCCACCCTTTCCAGGTTAATTCCACCTAGTGAACCAGATGATGATTGCACACTGCGGTCAGCGTCATGAACCGATTGACAACAGATGCCATGGATGATTGAGATCGCGAAAGGTGTCAATGAGGAAGATGGAGCGTGACAGATAAGAACAAGAGCAAACACACACGCAAACAGAACAAACATAGCCTCGAGAAGCTTTGTAGATAGCGTAAATCGAAATTCGCCTGGAAATGATTATTCTATGCCCTGAAAGAGATGGTGAGTGTTGAAGTGTGGTGAAGTCGTTTATGATGATCTTTCCTCTTTGCGCCATCGAAGCTGGCTTCCACCTCTATACCTGCCATGGCGACTACTTTTTTATTTTTTACTTTATTTCTTGAGCCAATAAGTCACAATCACCAGGATCGAATGAGCTTGTCGGCAATGCGACTGTATCAACCCGGTTGTAGATGAAGACCTTGGACGGAGAATGTTGACAAATGTTATCATTGGCGCAAAGGGAAAAAGAGTTCATCAATAACGTGAATGGAAGAATCCACCGGCCATATTACAGTCCAAAACTCCATCGCAGGCTCGCCAAAACCTAGCGTCGCCGCAACACCATCTCTGGTATCATCTGAGGTGCAAATCACCTGCTCCGCCCCGAAACCCATCTTCTGAAAAGTCAAGCATGCAGGGCTGCTAGCATCATAGCTGGCGGTTGCGCGAAAAACCCACGACCTCAAGCCCGAGTGCCAGGTCCACCGGTTATTTACGTCCTTCATGTCATCAATCTTCTCTCTCTAAGCATATTTTCGGAGCTAGTTCATTGTCAGTTTCTGTTCAGCTACGTTCTTGCCAGTCACAACTTACGTCTAAGGTGAGCGTCCTTGAGCTGTTGACTTCTTGGTCTCGGTAAACACCGACCAAGCTCTCGCTGTCCTGGAACAATCCGGTCTTGAGACTGATTACAATGAATTGCATGCCTGGACCAGCATGTTCACGGATGTACTTCTTGATCTTGTCCACGTTGGCGTTGTCAAGTGCGGCGTCTACTTCATCGAGCACGAAGAAAGGACTAGGCTGGTAACTGTGAATCGCGAACAGGAGAGCCAAGGCGGCCATCGTTTTCTCGCCTCCAGAAAGATGCTCCATGTCTCTGAATCGCTTGAGGGGCGGCATGGCATGATACTTGATACCAGACAGGTACGGCGTGTCGGTGTCTTCTTCAATATCCAGGTACGCTTGCCCTCCCAAGGGATAGGCTTCTGACCGTGTAAGGTCCTTGTAGACGTGCGAGATCTGCTCCTGGATGTGTGAGAAGGCCTTGTTGAAAAGCTCGTACCGCTGAGCTTTGACATGGTTGAACGCATCGCGGGCTGCCTTAAGTGCCGCTCTGGAATCCTCAAACTCCTTTTCGGTATTCTTCAGTCTCGTCTCGACGCTCTCTAACCTCTCAATGGCTCTCATGTTGGGGTTGAGCTTCTCGAGCTCCGAAGTGATTGACGCAATCTTATCTTGCAATCGCTCCTCGACGCTAGGATCATCCGACTAGAGAAATGTCAGCAAACACAGCTTATAACATGCAAATGGCAGGTTGCCCGTACATTCTTCAATTCTTCGTCCAGGCTGTCATAGTCGACCTCAATGCCGTGATTCTCGAGGGCGGCGGTCATCATTTCCTCGTCATCCTCCTCGTCCACGTCCATAGCATCGGCGTCTTGCCGTAGCAGGTTATCTTCGTTTGGCAGATTGTCGAGCGAGCCCTCTTGTAAAGGAATCTGCATCTGCTCGAGCTTGCAACGCCTAAGCAACGCAAACTTGCCGGCACTGTTCTTCTGGACTACCGTTTCCAGAGCGTTGATTTCCTTTTGTCTGGCGTCGATCTCCTTGCTTCGCTTCTGAACCTCGGCCTTGGCCTGCGAGACCTTCTGGCTCTTCACCTCTAGCGTAGCGCGCTTCTCCTCGAGGGTCTCCCGCAGCGCGTCGAGCTCGTCAGATACCTCGTGGCTAGCATCCTCGATATCTGACTTTTCCTGCTGATAGGTCTGGAGGTCTCGTTCCGATGCCTTCAGCCCCTCTTGCAGTTTCTTCAGCCTTGCGTCCAGGTTGTTATACATGTCGCGCGTCCAGCTGAGTTGACTCTGGTACTTGGACTTTTGTACTTCAAACTTGGTTCGTTCCTCATCAGCTTCTCGTTGCAGATCTCTGTGCTCCGATTCATAGGCTCGGATGTCGCCGAAGCCAAGTCTCTTGCAGAAACCAGAAAAGACTTCGTCTTCCACTTTGGCGATAGCGTCGGAGAATTCCTTGACTGTACGCTTGGTTGCCTCGAGCTCGGCTCTCTTCTCCTCGTATTTGGGTTCCAGCTCGTCAAGCTGCCTACTCTCGTGATCTACTTCTCTCTTCTTGCTGTTGTAGTTCTTCTCCAGGTGGGCAAGTTCGGCCTTGGCGGCCGCCAGACGTGGCTCAAGGCCGTGAATTTCAATCTGAAGAGACTCCTCAGCAGGGCTACGTCGCCCAGACTTTGGGAGCTTTTCGATCTCTTCCTTGTACTTGGCCGCCATTTTCTTGAGGGGTTCAAGGTCAGTGCTTTCGAAGCGACGCTTCCCGCCCTTTTGCTCCGGGCCACGACCACCAGTCATCATGCCCGTCTTGTGAATGACCAGGCCGTCGAGAGTGACGGTCTTGACGGGGATGCGCTTCTCATACGAAATGAGCTTGGCGATCTTTTCGCTGTCGCAAACCACAGAGCTGCCACATGCATAGGCCATGGCACGCTCATACGCAGGCTCAAAATCAATCGTGTCGATGGTTAGGCGCGCTCCGGATATGCCTTTGATGGCTGAATTGACCGCGTTGACCTTGATGTTGTCAAGGGGGATGAAGGTCATGGGCGGGAAGCGCTGGTCCTTGAGATACTGGACACAGTCGTGACCGGTCCTCTCTGTGTCCACGATGACCGATTCGTAGTCCCGACCAAGCGCGGTGCTAACAGCCTCGTCGTACTTCTTCTGTTTAGGCTTGCACAAGTCACCAACCCTGCCCTTAACACCGGGATACAGTCGCTTCAGGTTGTTGACCATTTCCCTCATCCTAGCCTCGCGGTCATTCTGTCGTCGGCCATCATCGGCCTCTCGAAGCTGCTTGGCGACTTGCTCAAGCTTCTCCTCCAGTTCAGTGCGTCTCTGACTCGTTCTTATACGTTCAGACTGCATCTGGTGATACTGCTTCTTCTTCGTGTCGATTTCTTGGGACAGGGCTTTGATGTTGGCCTCTGTTGCTGACTTGCGTTCGCCAATGGTCTCCAGCTCTCCTTCGTACTTTTCCAGAGCGGCGGAGATGGTGTCGACCTTGCCCTTAAGGGTGTTGACTGTGACCTCATCCGTTTTTTGTTGCCGAATCAGATTGTCGAGCTTCGCTTGGTTGGCAGCAGTTTTTGATATGACCTGAGTTCGCAGGTTGTTGTATTCTTTGCGGTCAGCATCGCTCAGCTCCTTGCCGGTCTTCTTCATGCGCTCCTTATGCTGCTTTTCGAAGTGCTGTTGGGCCTTCTCGAGCGTCTTGAGTCTGTTTTCATCTTCCTTGATGAGCCCAGCTTGCTTGTCGCGGTCCTTACGAACTGGTTCTATACGCGAGCGGGTCTGCTCGATGTTGCGGGTCCTCTCTTCGATCTTTGCATCAATGGGAATCAACTTGTGCTCCAACTCGTCAAACTCGCGCTTCTTCGCATTGATGGCCTTCTCCACACCCTGAGCTTCTTTGGACGCCGCGTGCTGCTCCTTCTGAGCGGCTTCGAGCTTTCGTCTGAATGACTCCACGTTACGCTGGAACTCTTGTAGGTTCTGCTGGTGCTCGTGAATCTTCTCGGAAGACTCATCCATGCCCCGCTGGAAGTGGTAGAGCTTCCACAAGGCGTGTTTCACGATGGCCTCGTCTCTCTCTTCAGTCTTCTTCTGAAAGTTGTCGGCCTCCTTCTTCTGCTCCTGGTACTGTTTGATCTCGGAGTTGATACCACGCCGTCTGTGGAGCTGGAAGCTCTGGTTTTCCGCGGCTTGCTCGGCTTCCGTCTGTAATCTTTCGTACTCGGCCTTGTACTCCAAGCTCCCAGAGATCTGCTCAATCAACCTTGTCAGGTCTTGAGGGGATTGAGCGGCGATGGCCTCCACGTCACCCTGGAAGACAAGGAAGTTTCTGGCTTTGATGAGAATGTTCTCAGTCTCGAGGGCCTCGTTATACTGCTGGGCGGTGACGACACGGTCGTTGATGCGGTACTCGCTGGAACCCTGGTTCGTGATGGAGCGCTTCCACTTTTGCTCGTCGCCGGCGTCATCCTCGTAGACGGCCATTACCCAGGCTGTCTTTGGGTCGGTTCGAGAGGCTTTGTGCGACACGTCGTCTTCGTCGCCGTTGGCGTAGCCATTCGTCTGCCCATTAGCCTCTGCGGAGCCGTCATCGTTGATTTTGGAAGTCTTGAGAACGCGGCCGCGGTAGACAAGGTCCTTTAGATGAGCCGATCGCAGATGCGATGATTTAATACCCAAGACGAAGGAGATCGCGTCCATGCTGGCAGTGGCAACGCGTCAGTCGGTGAGTTTCTGGGAGCATGACGAGAAGCGAACTTACGAATTGGATTTTCCAGATCCATTGGGTCCGATAATGGATGTAAAGTAGGAGTCGCCGAAAAGCAGGACATGATGGCCCTTGTAGGATTTGAAGTCTGGCGACAAGTGTCAGCGCGCGCGCAAGAAGGGGGGAAATCAAGACCGTATTGAGCATACTGAAGAGCTCAAGGCGAAT